ATTTACCCTCGATGAAGACCCATTGTTCCCATCCGATGAGTTCAGGGAGGAACCTTGCCGAACGGAGTGTTAGTGTTTTCAAAAACAACTTATATATTACGTTCAAGAGGGAGATGGGTCTCCAATTTCGTATTTGTCGCTTATCACCCTTCTTGTAGAGGAGGGTGATCATACCTTTTATAAAGTTATCAGAGAGTAAACCCACTTGTAGGGCATTATTGTAAACTTCGTACAAAAAAGGTGAAAAGGCTTCCCAATTGGGTGTGTACATTTTCATAGGAAGCGCATCAATACTTCGACACTTATTAGTGGCCATCTGTTTTACGACTTTGTAGATTTCATTTTGTGTCATTAGAGCTCTCATCACATCTATAGTCGTTGGCTAAATTTTTATTGTGACCGGGTCCCAATAATCTAAGTATTCCAATAGATCTTTGTCCGGTGGATCAAAGGGGCACCTTATAGATATTATATCCCTATAGTATTTGAGCGTGTACACACACATTTCCAATATATAAGTAGCAACTGAAGCATCTAAAGCAAAAAGATGATAAAGTTTCATTAACAATGGTTTGGATTGGCGCAGTATTACCGAGCGAAAGGTGAGTTTTTTCATTTTATCATAGCCTATGACTCTCATAATCCTCAACCATTCAAACCATTCATTTTGCTTATGAATTTCTAGCGCCTCTAACCGGGCTAGGAAAGCGCATATCTTTCTGGTCCAATAGTGATCAACAAATGGATAAATGCCCATTTTCTTTTCTGCTTCGGTAACCGCTTTTATTGATGAATTTTCTTTCCATGAGCGGTTCGACGATTTCATTCGTGAAAATTCTTTTAGTGCGGCTTTGATAATTACGATGTCAGTCTCTGCCCATAAGTCAAAATCCAAACAAATATTTTGTCTTCTGTCAGACGAGCATGTGGGTAAAAATCCTTTTTTTGATTCCTTCGTCTTTACATATGTTTACATTGAGTCAGAAGGGAGGTCAATATTTTTCCACTAGGTTTCTTTATAGGATATCCAATGCCACCGGCTGATGGTCTGGCAAAGACTCTACTTGGACGTTACACCACATGCTCTGGTCCCACAGAGCACCTCTTACCAACATTAAATTCGCCCGCTTACGTGGGGCTGGGGCATTGCACGCAGGTTTGGGTCCGTACCAGGTGAAGCCATAGGCTACTAGATTGAATGTTCGGTACATATTTGTCAAGGCTTGAGCCTTTATGAAGTGAGATAACATCATAGAGTCAATTCTCACAGGTTTCATTTTGAGCGAGTCTAAGTCAAAATTGTACACATTATTTCAATCGCCGACCAGAATCAAGTTTTTCGCATTTGGAATAAATTTTGGGATGGTTGCTAGGAAGGTTATCCTATCTTGGTAACCTACAGGAACGTAAAGGGACATAATTGCCCAATCTTCGTCTCCAACGACGATCTTCATCTATGCCCATTTTCCTTCAGGGTTAGCATGTTGGTCCATAATTCCAATTTTTTAGTTTATGTCAATTAAAATAGCTACACCGCCCTTCGTGCCGCCACCTGTGGGTCCTCCCACCAGCTCTGGATTTCTTTAATTTTGTGGTTATTCGGCTTGATTTTTTGTATGCACATGATCTGTGTATTATGTGAATGGATCCAGTCCCGTAATCGTGCCTTTTTGAAACTTGGTCGAATCATGAAGGTAGTCTCTATTTACGGTGTTGGATCCTGAGTCTTTATGGTTTTGTCTTTTGTTTTCGAACTCGCAACGAAGTTGCCTTGACTGGTGCCCCTCTTATGATTCACAAATGGATTGCTTTATTTTTCTCTGTTTTTTTTATGCTTAACCTCCAATCCTTTTCTTCGAATTTCCTTTTAAGCACTGATTCCGAAAAAAAATTAAACCCTGTACTACAAGACCCCGTATTGGCTATACATCATCCTTGTATTTATGCAGGATACGTTGCCTGTACTATTGGTTTTTGTTTATGTGTATCCGAAACTCAATAAAAAAAATACACTGCGCGTGAAATCAATGATGCATTTACCATTATAATCACTTAGTATTCGAGTGTTTCATATGGCAATTCTAACCTTGGGTGGTAGGACCATTGTCTAGGCCCTTGTCGCGTGATTTTCAGATGCGACTTACCCCTGTGGTTTTTTATATGAAGGTATATTTTCCTCTCCCCTCCCTTCCTCCTAACTTCCACCTTCTTTGTTTATCGAGGAGGGAGGGGGTTCGAGATGAGGTTGACTGAAAAGGGAACCGATGATATAGTATCTATTGCATTTGTGTGCGTAATCCATTCAGTGTTTTTGTTCGGACTTATCGTGTTTTTGTTCGGGTCGGAGAAAAAAATCACTCTTTTAGTAATTTGGCTTGAATTTTCCTTGCATTTAGTTTTGACCCTTTTTGTTAGAGTAACTGTGTTTTGGCGTTGTTCTCTAATTAAGGACGATCCCGATGGGTCTTCCTTGTCCGAATTGGCAATTGCCTCTCAACAATTTGCAAAGTCCTCTTCCGAAGGGAAAACTCCACTATCACCCTCTGGGAAGACAACCCCTTCCTTAATCTACGATCCTAGCACATGCATTTTATTATCGTAGATTTTAGTGTTAAAAGTTGGATCTGCGAGGGCTGCGATACCAAGCGTCACCCTTTTTCTTCATCCTCGTCGATGCTCTCCTCATTAAAGGAGGGGAAAGCATCTCCTTTTGAGAGGGTTCCCTCCGCCTCCGACTTTAGGTCTTCTTTTTCACTCTCTTCCCCTTGCTCTCTTTCTACCTCACTCTCCTCATATGCGAAACTCGTTTTTTATTCCCTTTGATGTTCTTCCTCCCTCTTTAACTTTTCCCTTCCTAGAAGGATATTTTTTTCCATGTCGTCCTCTTCCCCTTTTCCCTTCTTTTCAGAATCTCTCTCCACCTCCTTTTCTTCATAAACTTTTTCGTCAATTTTCATTTGGGAAGACTTCTTCACTGATTCGCCTCCACCTTCTGATCGATCGGGTGGATTTGGACCCTTTTTCGATCCCATTGAGGAGGGGGTCTTCTCTTTGTTGGGGATGGGCAATCCGTGTCCTTCAACGACTCGTTCTTCTTGCCCCTGGGCAGAGGAGGCTTCACCGGTTTCCCTTTCCTTATCTCTGGAGGTTTACCTCCATCCTTCTGTTTGGGATTCATTTTTGGATCCGCTGGGTTTTTCTTTACTACGTCGGGATAGGAATTCGTTTTTGTTTTCAAGCATTCGGGTCTCCTTCGTGGTGAAAATGACGCCTACAATGAGGGCACCAAGGCGTGGTAGCATAGACAACTTCTATATCAACATACCCGTGCTTGCCCAACTCAACTACTAATTCGAGGTCGAAGCACACGTTCACAAGATCAGGGGACAAATGATCCTTGTAGGTCAGATACTCTTTCACTACCTTTCCAAAAGCATCTTCTACAACTCCTTGAAGTGGAACTAGGGTAGCGATAGGGACCTGTTGGCAATGAAGCCAGAAGAACTTGTGCCTCGAGACCTCCCGCCACTCCTAGTGCTCTTGTTCAGTCATCCAGGGCTGGAAGGGAATAAAGTATTGTCTTACCTACTCGTAACATCCAAGTTGCAATCTCCTTCGTTGATGCCACATACATGACCACCTTCCTCCCCTCTTTATGGAACAGTCCTCTCTTTGGAGGGGCGGAAATCTGCCCCACTGTCGCCCATCCATTTTCCAAGACATGGACTAGCCGTTTCTTGACATCTATAGGTAGGGATGTTGACTCGTCACCGAAGAAGATTGAAACTGCGTGTTCCCCCCTGAACCTGATACACTTCAGGACATAGTCGTCACCTACCTCTAATGCGTTCGACGCTAACTTTTTTGGGAAGAATGCCCCCGTGTAGCATTGCACAGAATTCCCCTAATTAGTTGCTTATCCTCCTACGTCAAGGACGGAGGGGGGGCTGACGGGGGAGGGGGGGTGGTTGGACGGACCTTCCCCTGAGGATTCCATCTTTTCAACCATGACTCAGTTCTATATCTCCCCTAGAATATCATTCCACATGAAGAAGCACAACTAGAAATTACCAATGTCAAATCTGCTAACCGTACTTATCACGAAACTTTAAATCATAATTAAGAAGCCGAGGCTTCTATAAATTAGGATGAAGGTATCTTCCCTCCCAGGTTTCGGGTCGTGGATATGCCTGCTGCTCGATCTCCTGCGCAAGACAATTCTGTCGCCGGTCGCTCCGAAGTAGGAAAGTCACCTTTCTGCTCCGCGTACTATCCGAACAAGACGATTGTTCCACTGGAGTAAATTTCCATAAAATAGGAGATGCTACCCCTCACGCGAATCCAACAAGATAAAAAAGATAAAGAAGGAACAGGAGGGCTCAGTTTGATAGTTGGTGAGACTCCATTCTGGTTTGACACCCGTTCAGAAATTGCTGCAAAGCAGGACCCCAAAACTCAGTTCTGCTATGCATCTGGGCTGGAAAGAGAAGAACAGCAAACTACCGGTAGTCCCACAGTTGCATCCTTCAGCGAGAAAAGGGGAAACCAATATAGACACCAAAATCAAGCCAATACATAGCCCAGGCAAACTTGAGACTCGAAATTGAGCCAAGCCGAAAATTTGGGGGGGTTCGGGGCTACCCGACCACAATGTCTAATGTCTGACGGCGCGAGCCAAAAAAGAAAAGAAGTGCGCCGCTGGCGGTTCGGCCCCGGGGCTAGGTGCCACTTACACCAATTATGCGATATTGACCGTCGATAGCGAAGATCAACGGCCGTAATCTCCTAGTCCGTGCAAGTGGGACCTCGCCCCCGGTAAAAGGAGGCTCGGATGTACTGGTCCGACCCGCCCAATATAAAAAAGAGCGGGGAACCCGGCAAAAGGAGGGTCGGATGTACTAGTCCGACCCGCCCTTCCAGTAAGGAAAAAAATCAAAAAGAGGGGGGAAATCGTGAAGTGCGACGTTGCCTTTGGCGAGGCGCCGACCGATTGCCGCGAGGTGGTCGTTGTTAGTTGAAGCACAGGCGATGGGGCCTGTCAGATCTGCGGCCATAGCTGGTGCGCTACGGTAGAGTGTGGAAGAAAGGAGTAAGGAGCGACACGACGTGGCGAGGGTATGCTGTGAATGAGGAAGGAAAGTAAGCGACTGAGCGGGTCGATCGAAAGGGGAAGATAGAGAGGGGGGGGCTGAAGCAGGGGTTTGGAAACAGGTGCGAGGAAGCATGGGTGTCGTCATCGTCATTAACGCCTTGCCACACGCGTGAACGACATCCATCTGAAGTCCGGGTATCCAGCCAAGAGAGCCGGACGACCGTCTCCATCTTCGTTGCGGTCGCCATCTCCATATTGATTGTCGCAAGCACCGACCCATTGATAGAAGAAGCTGGTTTTGTCGCTCTCTGTTTGTCTGGTCTGGTATTTTCACCTTTGTTCTCTTTCTGCACTCCGGCCTCGTCTCTTTCGCTTTCTCTCTCCCGTGTCGCTAGCATCTCGCTATGCCGTTGTTTGTTTCGGACATCGAGTATGATGCGGTTCGACATGATGTCTCCGCCGTGGTGGCGCGGGCGGACGAAAAAGTGCGGGAGCTGCTCATTCAGGTGGAGGTGCAAAAAGCCAGAGCGGATGCGGCGGCGATTAATGCGGAACAGACATGCGCGCTTCTGGAGCAGAAATACCTGGCTCTCGCTGCCGAACAGTCTCAGCTAGAGCAAGACAAGGATCAGCTTGCTAGTTCACTAGCGGAGCGCTCCGCCGAGCTGGCGGAAGCGAAGTCGCAAGCGCAGCAACTTCAGTTGGAAGCGGTAAGCAAGGACCGGCAACCGGTCAAAAACCCTCCCGCCTTTTCTTCCTCCTGATCTTCCATCGTCATCATCACTACTTTGATGAACATTTTCTCCCCGTGGTACCGGTCGACACTCTTACGTCTTCTACTCCACTTTGCTTTTGTGCTCGTCATGGGCTCTTTACATCTCGTCTCTCCTCCTCCTCCTCCTCCTCCTCCTCCTCCTTCCTGCTCTTGTTCTTCCCGCTCGTCTTCTTCTTTTGGCCCTCCTCCCTACGCAGGTTTGGGCTCCGGGAACTTTCGTTATCTGCTTTGTGCCATTTTTCCTTAGATCGGTGAAAAGCATTTCCCTTCCACTTTCCGGGCTCCCTCTTCATACTCTCCTGGGTTCTGATCCTGGTGTCGGATCCCGAGTCGGTGAAGAGCGCGGACTTCGAGGAGTGAGGAATTGACTGGGAGGCTGAATGAACAAAGGGAAGAACCCGGGACGGGGAGGTTGTAGATGCCCAAGGCACTGCGCGATTGATTACGTCGTCGAGTAAACAGGAAGACTAGCTGAGCGGGCTCCAGGACTGTCGCGGCTTGGCCTATCACAAAGTAAAGTGACCTAGAATGGAAGCGGCCTCTGCATGTTCCCCTGATTGCCTCACGTCATGGAGCGGGTCCCTGCAGCTTTGTGCGTGCGCTTGCACGTGTTGGGGGAGAGAGAGAGAGAGAGAGAGAGAGAGCTGTCTCTTATACACATCTAGATGTGTATAAGAGACAGGTAATAGATAGAGAGAGAGAGAGAGAGAGAGAGAGAGAGAGAGAGAGAGAGAGAGAGGTCGTGTAGACCGCAGTGAGATACTTGGACACACTCCGTTTCTGGGGTGTCCTGTGGCCCATCGAGGCTTCCAGGGGAGACAGTTCTGCCAATTGGGCGTAGTTGAAAGGCAACCCTTCTTTTCCTGTCCATTTTTATTGGACGATGAAAAAATCACGTAAAATCTCCGAAGATCAAAATCAGTAAGACGTCAAGAAAAATCGCGTGAGATGAAAACCAGTTAATTGCTGCTTCCTTTCTCGGCCATTCAGACATGAAAAGATATCGGCAACTGAACTAATGTGTTAGATACGAGCATCGGGTGCGTACCACAGATTCCAAGAGAATAGTTTCGGCCGGCCGGCAGCGGCGTTTATATTGGTTTATTGATAATAAATTGTTATATCGATAACAAAGAATAGTATTGATAAAGAGAGACATACTGTAAATTTCAATGATCTGGGCAGATTGAACAGAAAGAAAGATTAAAGTGATCAATCAATCATCCGTAGTTGTTTTCTTGTCGCCAATTTTAAACAACATGGTATCTCTCAGGGCATACTCACAACTAGCACAATAATCGTAAATGTATCTGACCGTAATTACAGCCGTACTTGGAAGTATCCGACCCCAATTCCGTTCAGAAATACGTAAAAGAGTCGTAGTGCGAGTATGCCCTCAGCCATCCGTTTTCCACTTTTCTTCCAAGAGCAGTAATTAAGTTTGCAGGTGAGTAATCCAGTCTGGCCTGGCGGAAATGATACAGGCTGCTGACATAGTATACATGCAGGATATGATTAGCCCGAGTCGGAACTCACTCTTACTACGTAGGAACTTGCGACGGCGCAAATAATCTTGTAAGCTACCCGAATCTGAGGCGCTTTCCCTTTTCTTCCTGAGTAACAGTATTTGTAAGCTACCCGAATCTGAGGTGCTTTCCCTTTTCTTCCTGAGTAACAGCAAAAAATACTGTAAATCTTAACTATTATAGTAAATGCTATATAGTAATAACTGCTATAGTAACTGTTATAGTAAATGCTATATAGTAATAACTGCTATAGTAACTGCTATAGTAATATAACTGCTATAGTAGTATATGCAAAAGTAGTAACTGCTATAGTAACTGCTATAGTTACTGCAATATCGTAACCTGGACGTGAATCTGCTGTAGCAACTGCAGAAATCCTGTGAGTATTACAGTAACTGCTACAATAATAGTAAGTATTAAGTAACTGCTACAGTAATAGTAAGTATTAAGTAATTGCTACAGTAATAGTAAGTATTAAGTAACTGCTACAGTAATGTAGATCAGTTCACGTCAACCTTGCTTGAAATTGTCGGACGTCGATTCGGGGAATAGTCCAGTACGAGTCTGACACTACCGTTTCAGACACAAGCGATTCGGGGAAAGAATCCATCCACTACGTCAAAGGCTTGGACCGCTAAAGCGAAGCAAAACGGAGTAGTAGTGAATTTGTACTCCGAAGCGCGGCTGTGGTCGGCACGGAAGTGTTTGTTGTCGTGAGCCGGCGGCCTCCTTTCCTCTCTGAGGTGAGGGGGGGGGCATATTCAGAAAATCCGGAACGAATTCCTTTCCCATTCACACGAGAACTTCAATTGTATTTGGCCGAAATCGGGCCGTTCGGGTCAGAAAATCCGGAACGAATTCCTTTCCCATTCACACGATAACTTGATTGTATTTGGCCGAATTCGGGCCGTTAGGGTGGTACATTCTGACAAGTCCTGGTGTGAGTATGCCCCCTTGGGAGTCTTGGAACTTCAATTCACCGTAGAGAGGGGTTTGAGGCAAAGTGGCATCTAGTCGTCTAGAGGAAGGCGGGCTACCGAAGTGCACCTAGTAAGATTCGAAAAAGACCAGAGAAGATTCTGCTGAGGTACGGCACGTTACGTTCGGAGAAGATGAGATTATCGTCATCCTGATAGATCCTGGTGTGAGTATGACCCCGAGAGGTCTTGGAACTTCAATTGGGGTCGTTCTGTCAGTCACCGTAGAGAGGGGTTGAGGCAAGGGGGGCTCCAGTCGTCTAGAGGAAGGCGGGCTACCGAAGTGCAACTAGTAAGATTCGAAAAGGACCAGAGAAGATTCTGCTGAGGTACGGCACGTTACGTTCGGAGAAGATGAGATTATCGTGTTCTGGACGAGATCTGTGTCTCGCCGCCGCCACCTTTTCGAAGGAAGCTGCCGATATGGCAGTGGATGATGTGTACCGATGGTCTTGAGGGGCGAAGCGCAGTGATGGCGGGAAAGGAGAACGCGCGAGGTAAATAGGAGTTGACGTTGTCGTTTTGGGAAGAAGGCTGTGGCGTCCACGCTCGCTCGCTCGTTCTTCTTCGTCGTCCAAAGCCGAATGCCCCGTCGTTGTTACGCGGGAGAGTATGTGGCGGAGTCGTTCTTCTTCACGGTAGCAGTGGGATTAGGTAGGGATCACACACATAGAGAGCGAGAAGGAAAGAGCGTTGTGTTCTCGCGTGTGGTGTGGAGATGGGGACACTGAAGATCACGTGACTCACACACACACAGACAGAGAGAGAGAGAGAGAGAGAGAGAGAGAGAGAGAGAGAGAGAGAGAGAGAGAGAGAGAGCAGTTTAACATGGTTTGATGGGATCACAACATCAGGACGGGAAGACGAGGGAGTGGAAAGGGGGGACGAGGGGGCCATTTTTGCCCATGTTCTTGTTTTCGTTTCCCTTACCTCGCCTTTTTGTTCACCGCACGGGCAGCTCTTTCGTCGGTTCTCTGTCTTACGAATGTAATGTTGTTGTGCAGATGCCCTTCGAAGCGAGCAACTACATTTCGAGGTGACGTGAAGGTCGTCGTCATTCACCTGAACGTTTTCGCTGACATGTGCATCCCGACAACCCTTCCGACATGTGCATCCTGACAACCAACCCGTCATCATTGTTCGTGGACCCCTCTGTAGATTCCCATGTACTGATTCCCACCCGACGGCATTACGACGATCGATGGCCGGGAACGAAGAAGGATCAGTGCAAGATGAACCTTGCCCCCGCCTGATCAACAGGTCACCCCTATTAGTATCTAGCGGAGGTAAAGAGCGCGCACTTGCCACCTTCTCCACCCTCTCCCGGTAAACGAGGGGTATCTCCCGCCTTTTCCCATCTGACCAGTGGATCGCCCTCACCCTCGCTATGTCGGTTAAACTTTTTGAGTATTTAGCGGCGTCAAGAGGGTCGTCTGAACCCGGACAACGATGCCATTCTCATCACCAACCGCATCGCTGTACTACCTGCCTGCAAGTATAGCCATCCTCCAGTGAACTTATCCCTGTCGTCTTCCCTTTTCCCAATCCCAGCCTGTTGACTACACACATTTCCTTCCTAGTTGCTTTCTGCTCTTCCC